GCCCGAAGCCCTGGCATCAGAGGGGCAGCTACTGGATGTCTCCCTGGAAAAGGTGAATTGCACAGTTCACATCCATTATTGGGACCATATGGGAGACGACCTTCCCGTCATGAACCAAGGGTGACTTACCTCTTCACAAGAGCAGATGACTTCCACACAGAGGCTGTGAAAATATAGGGCAGCTACTTGGGTTCCTTGGGACTAGGAAAGGTGGCACAGCTGAAGCTGGCTGCATGCTAGAGTCACCAGAGACTTTGACAACCTGACCCAGGCAAGACCTACCTCATCAAAATCTCTTCAAGGTTGTTACACAATGTATTTTGATCATATTCATTCCCCTCCCCACCTCCACTGCCCCAACTTCATCTCTCTCTCTCTCTCTCTCTCTCTCTCTCTCTCTCTCTCTCTCACACACACACACACACACACACACACACCTTAAAACAAAACAAAAAGTACGCAAAAAAAAAATACAGTCCAGAATCTCTTTTAAAAAATTTGTACTGGGTCAGTGGCTTTAATCCCAGCACTTGGAAGGCAGAGGCAGGCTGATCTCTGTGAGTTCAAGGCTGGCCTGGTCTACACAATGAGTTCCATAACAGCCAGAGCTACATAGTGTGACCCTGTCTTGAAACCATTTTAACCTTTTTAAAGTTATGACTATGAGTAAACACAATATAATCAACCCCAACATTTTCATCTTTCCAGGCTGATACTGTTCCCATTAAAACACTAACTTCTGGGGCTGGAGAGATGACTCAGTGGTGGAGCAGAGCTCAGTTCCCAGCACCAGTTCACAACTGTCTGTAAGTCCAGCTCCAGGCTATCTAATAATTCCCTCCCCTGGCCTCCCAGGGAACCTGCACACTCATGATGCTCACAGCATGCACACATACATTAAATAAATATAAAAACAGGTATGGTGGTGCACTCTCCCAGGACCTGGGAAGCAGAGGCAGGTGGATCTCTGAGTTCAATGTAAGGCTGGTCTGCATAGTGAGTTCCAGGCCAGCCAAGGGCTACCTAGAAAGACCCTGTCTCCACCCCAAATCTTTACTCACTTCCTGTTCCTCCTGAGGTAGGATAGAAAGGAAAATTATGGGGTTGTGAGAGGGAAGAGGTGCCCCTCACCCAGGAATTTGGTGGAAGCCTCTTGCCTACAGAGAAGCAGGGATGCTGGTTCAATTACTACTCAAGGCCATCACCCTTCCCCAGCTATACCGCTGCATTTTTTCAGGACTCTCAGCAGAAACTTCCTTGACAGGAAAAGGACCAGTACAAAATTGTACAAAATTTCTTATGCAACCATTGGTTCTGGTTTTACCTTATCAGATTATAATTCCCTCTGAAGCCACCCCCCCCCACACACACCCCAACACACTCTGGGCAACCGTTTGAGAGCTAAGTTGAAAGCTATCAAAATGGTGCACACAGCTAGTGCTAAGATTGTGAGTCCCGTGAGGAGCTACACTGGGTATGTTTTCTTAGTTCTCTCTTCTAAGCCTTGTGGTTAAAGTCTATGTTAAATTTTCTTTAATAAAACCCTCAAATTTGCTTTTACTAGTGCTAAAATTCTTGTCTGAGGCAAAGCCATGAATCCAGTTTGCCCTGAGTCTTTTTGCAGTCTCTAAGAGAATTCTCTGGCTAGGGTGACAGCATGGGGTTTTATCTCTGTCCCCTCACCTTGGACACTCCCTCTTCTGGCAACAACCTGGTATCCATTATTCCACTCTGTTTCTATGAAGTGATTCCTTTAGTGACGTCCTGAGTGGAGGATTTGTCTTTCACAGGTGGCTTATTTCACTGAGCACAGTGTCCTCCAGAATTGTCCGTGCTGCAGCCTGGGATGGAGACTTTTTAAGGCTGTGTGGACGGCCCACAGCGCCACATTTTGATGCGTGTTTATCCGTCTATGCACACCTGGGTGGTTTTACACTTGAGGCATCCCAGCTAGGGATTCTGCAGCTGTGGAGTAGAGCCATGAAGCCCCTGGCTCTTTGCCTTGCAGCGTCATTAGTGTCACCTGTCCCTCATGCCAGCAGTGCTCTCTGCTGTTATCAAACCCAAACACCACGGCTGGAATCTCTTCTCTTTCCCCTCAACACCCTCAATGCCCGTGGCTGTTCCCGCTTGTCCCACCCAGCTCCACAGACCTGTGCAACCGAGCCAGTCGGGGCACGAGGATATGCTGGGTACCTATGGGTTGTTAGCTCTCAGCTGGTGTGCCATGACCACACAAAGATGCAGGCAAGTCACAGCCACCGTGTTGGGGACTGCGGCCTCGCCCCCACCTCACCGGACGGCGGGGAGCTTCTGTCTCCTTAAGGCGCAGCCTCCCCGGCTCACTGGGGTCCTTCCTCCCCTGCAAGGCACTTTCCCTAAGTCGCGAGAGAGGGAATGGAAGGACCCGGCGGCGTCCGTGCTTAGGAGCTGCTCGGGACGCGATGCACACGGTGTGACCCGTGTAAAATCGGGAGTTCTTGACGTCACTCGGTGCGCACGCCTTGCCAGGCTACAAACACTGCGGGCTCCATGGAGGCATTCTGGGCTGCGTTCAACTAACACCACTTTGCAAGTCAGCGACTGGGAAGGACGGGCGGCACCACACCGACCGTCCGGAGCCGCGCGGCAACCACAAGCGGCGCGGCCCGCGTTCCTAGACGACCTTCAGCGGCCGCGGGAGGGAGGCCGGGGACAGCGGGCTGGGCCCTAAGCGGTCACGCCCACGTCCCGCCTTTTTCGTGGGCGGGGACAGAACCTGCCAATCAGGGGCTCCGGGGCATGCAAATTAGCCTCCGCCCCCAGGGGAGAGGCGTTTCCCCAGACTCGCCGCGCCCTTGGTAGACGCCGCTACTCAGTTTTGCCTTCCTCACGGATCGGCTCTCGAGTCCGTTAGCTAGGCCGGAAGTGGGGACCCAAGCGTCCTGCGGGCAGAGCCGGAAGTGCGATAGGGAGGCGCATACTGGCCGGAAGCCGAGCTCCGGGCA